GTTAGGTTAGGTATGGTAGCCGAAAAAGTTAGGTTAGGTTAGGTTAGGTAGGTTAGGTAGTCGAAAAACAATTAATTCATGAAAACTTGGCTTATTAGGCAAATCAGGCCTTGCGTAGTAGGCCGAGAATTGCGTTCTGGCTACTAGGTACGACATATATATATATATATATATATATATATATATATATATATATATATATATATATATATATATATATATATATATATATATATATATATTAGTATATTTTGTTAGCAGTCTTTCCTGTAGACATATATCATTAAATATGACCGAAAAAGTAAGATTAATAATTCTAACACGAATTTTCTCAATCTTTCGTACATTTCTTTTCACTGTTGGAGGCAATTCAAAAATCAATTCTCCAAAATTCATTTTTATTTCTAGTCTGACGCGACACTTGAGCGCGTTTCGTAAAACTTATTACATTTTCAAAGACTTTACACATACACAACTGAATAGAACTTACATATCTCCGATTTGTTTATATCTACATTTGAGTGAGGTGGATGGGGTGAGGTGGTATTTAATAGGGTATTAATTTCATCAACACAAGACAGAACACGAAACAATGGGTATTGAAATGGAAGTGATTGTAGAAAGCCTATTGGTCCATATTTCTTGATGCTTCTATATTGGAGCGGAGTCTTGAGGTGGGTAGAATATAGTTGTGCATTAATTGGCTGTTGATTGCTGGTGTTGACTTCTTAATGTGCAGTGCCTCGCAAACGTCAAGCCGTCTGCTATCGCTGTATCTATCGATGATTTCTGTGTTGTTTACTAGGATTTCTCTGCCGATGGTTTGGTTGTGGGAAGAGATTATATGTTCCTTAATGGAGCACTGTTGCTTATGCATCGTTAAACGCCTAGAAAGAGATGTTGTCTTGTCTATATACTGGGTTTTTTTGAGCTTACAGTCCCCAAGTGGGCATTTGAAGGCATAGACGACGTTGGTCGTTGGTTAAAGCGTTCTGCTTTGTGTCTGGAGAGTTTCTCAGGAGTAGGCTGGCCGTTTTTCTGGTTTTATAGTAAATCGTCAGTTGTATCCTCTGATTTTTGTCTGTAGGGATAACGTTTCTATTAACAATATCTTTCAGGACCCTTTCCTCCGTTTTATGAGCTGTGGAAAAGAAGTTCCTGTAAAATAGTCTAATAGGGGGTATAGGTGTTGTGTTAGTTGTCTCTTCAGAGGTTGCATGGCGTTTCACTTTCCTTCTTATGATTTCTTCGACGAAACCATTGGAGAAGCCGTTGTTGACTAGGACCTGCCTTACCCTACAGAGTTCTTCGTCGACTTGCTTCCATTCTGAGCTGTGGCTGAGAGCACGGTCGACATATGCGTTAACAACACTCCTCTTGTACCTGTCTGGGCAGTCGCTGTTGGCATTTAGGCACATTCCTATGTTCGTTTCCTTAGTGTAGACTGCAGTGTGGAAACCTCCGCTCTTTTCCATGACTGTTACATCTAGAAAGGGCAGCTTCCCATCCTTTTCCATCTCGTAAGTGAAACGCAGCACGGAACTCTGCTCAAATGCCTCCTTCAGCTCCTGCAGATGTCTGACATCAGGTACCTGTGTAAAAATGTCGTCAACATACCTGCAGTATATGGCCGGTTTCAAGTTCATGTCGACTAAGACTTTTTGCTCGATGGTACCCATGTAGAAGTTTGCAAACAGGACACCTAGGGGAGAACCCATGGCGACCCCATCTACTTGCTTATTCATGTGCCCATCCGGGCTCAAGAAGGGTGCCTCTTTAGTACAAGCTTGGAGTAGTTTCCTCAGAATATTTTCTGGTATGTCAAGAGGAGTACAGGCTGGATCACGATACACTCTGTCGGCTATCATCCCGATTGTCTCGTCCACAGGTACGTTGGTAAACAGAAACAAAATTGTTAACAAGAGAAATGTTGAACAAGAATACCTGCATAATAGACAAAACTCAAGATGCAAGAAGATTACAAATTCTTGAGGCAATTCACATAAGAATAGAGCGACCTACCATGAACACCCAAATCACGGAACTATTTACTCTACCCACCATGAGAGTAAGGACAAGACAAGAACATATCGATGCCAACACAGAAGACAATGTCCAACATAATAGGCCAATTACACTGGATTGATCTTTGTGTTTAGATAGGAGCTGCCTCGTATGGGCCAATAAGCCTTCTGCAGCCTCTATGTTTCACCTCACATTTATCCCTTATGTATCCCCCCATGTTTTCATCTTTATTGTATTATCACCTGACCCAGTGCCCGTATAAAATCAACTAGTATTGTAAGATCTGTTCACTTGAGAATGAACCATGGAGGTTCGAAACGTTGTGCAATATATATATATATATATGTCGTACCTAGTAGCCAGGACTCCGTCGTGGCTACTAGGTCACTACTACTTGGAGTCACGTCGGCTCAAACAGGGAGTGTATTCCTGACCAATAGGCCAGATTGGAGCCGTTTCCCCACGCAAAGGTGAACATGAACCGCTCTCCGAGAACACAACGATATTATGGTGATCCTCCAATATGCACTCTAGTGTCCATTACTGATTGATTGAGGAAATCAGCAGTGTAGTTTCAATGGTTGATCTTATTTTATCAGGGAAGTGGTTGGGGGTCTCTGTTCGCTAGAAAATAAAGTTCAGTTCAGTAGCAAGTTTGTAAGATCTCTAACCCCCTGATAATACGTAGACTTCCAGACACACCTCTTGAAAACATAGACTACGAGACACACCTGTTTAATGCACAGACTCCCAGACACACTTCTTGAAGACATAGATGGCCAGACACACCTGTGGAAGGAATATACTACCAGAAACACCATTTGAAGGCATTCACTTCCAGGCACGCCTGTTGAAGGCATAGACAGCCTGACACACCTGTTGAAACTATAGGCAGCCAGTTATACTTGTTGAAGGCATAAACTGCCAGATAAAGCTGTTGAATGTTTAGACTGCCAGTCACACTTGTTGAAGGCATAGACTGCCAGACATAGTTACTGAATGCTTAGACAGCCAAACACAGTTGTTAAAGGCTTAGAATGCCAGACACACTTACTGAAGGCACAAAAAGCCAGACACACTTGCTTAAGGCTTAGACTGCCAAACAAACCTGATGAAGGCATAGACTGTCATACACACGACAGTAAGGCAGAAACAACGAATTGTAAAAGAAGAAACTAAAACAAGTTCCTGCTGGATTTACTTAACCAAACTCAGACTTAAGGGAAATTAACCAAATTTCCTTGAATTGTACTTGACCAAATTTAAGGAAAATTATTACTTTGCAATTGCAAACAAAATAAAATTACAAATAAAGTGAACTATGAACAAAATGTGAAGGAGAAATAATAAGCGAGGGAGCAGAGACGATCACTGAGTTACAGCGAGGCCGTGACAGTTGTGGGCCGAGTGTGGCGACAATTCACGAACTTCAGAGACTTAATCTTAACTTTGATCAAGTTTGTGACAGATTCAAACTGCGGATCGTCTATATAACAGCTGGTCCCTCCTGTTGGCTTCAGCAGCGTGCCTCTCCTGATGGTTTTAAGAGCTGATTTCTCCTGTTTTTTGAACCTCTCCTGTTAACTCTAAAAGATGACTGATAATGGTAGTTAAGACGCCTGGAATACCGCTTGTTGGGTTCTTGGGCTGGACGGTAGAGCCACGGTCTCGCTTCATGCAGGTCGGCGTTCAATCCCCGACCATCCAAGTGATAGGGCACCATTTCCTCCCTCCGTGTCCTATCCCAAATCCTTATCCTAATCACTTTCTCGTGCTATATAGTTGTAATAGATTGGTGCTTTCTCCTGATAGTTCTCTTTCCCCTTTCCTGTTAGAGTGGGAAGCGGTCTTACAGCGGGAGATGTACGCGATGCTACGGTTGTTGTGAGGGAATAGGTTAGAACAGCTGTCTTAATGTGTACCGGGAGTGCACACCGACAGTTGAGACCCTCACATGTGCACTAGAGTGGGTGCACTATGTCGATTATTATAAATACAAACCTCAGCTATGCCTTGTTGGGTATCTTTAGAGAGCTCATGTCAACAGGATACTATTGCTACCACGAAGGCTGTCGTGTGTTTCACCAATTAGCAATTACAGAAAGAAGGATGTTGAAGAACTAGTTAACCCCAGAGAGTTAAAATACAGAATCAGAATCTCGTGGTACTGAGAGTTTTGTGGTCGAGCGAGGGCTATGAGAACAAGGATCCCCTTGTCTGTGATTAGGACTCTCCCGTGACGTAGTCATAACGTCACGACATCATGCCACCCGGAGAAAACTGCTCTGATTGGATAGGCGTCAGTGCCTGGTACCTGATTAACTGTTTTGAGTATCTAGGAGGAGAGTGGAAAGGAGGGCCGAAGAAGTACCCTGGACCAAGCTGCCTCCTCATTCTGTCCGGGTCGTCTACCTGTGAGGACATTAGGATCTTACGCTACCAGCCGCAGCTAAAAACTCCATTTACGTTATGTAAATTAGTATCTCGTCATCCATCTGATTCCATCTAGCGTGGACTGCAGTCTGAATCTTGTTCGCGATAGTTTGGAAGATTACTTGAGATATGAGAAATAAGAGAAAGAGAGAGAAGTGCTCATCACGTGATCTTTGCAGAAGCAACGTGACTGCCTTAGTGTATCAAACCATGTCTATCGTCATCTTCCGGTAGCCTAGTGTTAAGAGAAGTGATATTGTGCGGATAGCAGTGAATCCCCATTGTTGCTGTTAATTTCTCTGAGGGAGATAACTGCATTACAACAATTTGTGGTCATAGTGTTTTCCTGCCAGACACTGCGCCGTCCCCTATAACGGGCACCTACCACCCAGTGTGAAGCAGTCGCGCGCAAATACCACACCTGGTGTGTATCTGGCGCCCACCACCCAACTTGTTATTGTGCCACATGTGACCATGGAACACCTAATTTATCAACTTGTGCCTTGCACCCAGAGTACACCACATGTACCTAGGGTACCCACCTGTAACTTGCATGTTAACCACTAGCTTGAGTGTGTACACCAGCCACGTGTGTGTTATTGTTACTCGCATGTTACCACGTGCAGTCAGTGCTTGTTTTTTTTGCACCAGCCAATCTGTGTCAACTTTCATTACATAGATTGCACATATATTACACAGATATATATATGCGAACAAGCCTGAATGGTCACCAGGATGCTCTGGGGTTGCAACTCCTCACGTCAGTTGCAACTGAAAACTCACACCCCAGAAATGACTCGAACCCATACTGCCAGGAACACTCTGCAACTGGCGTACAGGTTAAGGGGTCCTGTAAGCTTGTTGCAGAGTGCTCCTGGCAGTATGGGTTCGAGTCACTTCTAGGGTGTGTGTTTTCAGTTACTGATATATATATATATATATATATATATATATATATATATATATATATATATATATATATATATATATATATATATATATATATATTCGCATATATATAGGCTTGTTCGCATATATATATATATATATATATATATATATATATATATATATATATATATATATATATATGCGGAAAATCCACAGAGAAATATGAAATGAGGTGAACGTTTCGGCTTGTTAAAGCCTTTGTCAACACCAGACTGACTAAGGAGAAGGGAGAAGGGGGGAGGATATATAGGCCGACACCTGACCAACCCATCCCTAGGAAAGAATTAACCAAAAACAGGTATAGCTTAGCTTAGAATGGTCAAAGAGGATTAAGCGGTCAGAAAAAAAGGATCAAAGATTAAAGAAAAGCCTCATGAACACACAATATATGAATATACAATTATAATGAGACATTGTAAGCCTCTTTATCAAAGTTGTTTCTTAAACTGTTGTGCAATATTATAACTTAAAAATGGATCAAGTTTGTCCATTCCAGTACTAACATTAAGAAGATTTGGACACTGACTGATTAGAGCAGACTCAATCAAATTCCGTTCCACGAAATCCCGACAATTGGTAATGCTTTTTGCCCCATTCCAGTTAATATTGTGATCGCATAAACTCGTATGTAGATACAATGCATTAGACGTTTGGGCAGTTCTAATACTATAAGCATGTTGTGACAACCGCAATTGTAAGGACATTCCTGTTTGTCCAAGGTACACAGAATCACAATCATTGCAGGGAATCGAATACACACAACCTGCTGTATCAGGGGAGTTTTTTATTAAATTGGATTTGATCGTACTATTAGTGAACACCAAATTTATATTAAGTTTCTTAAAAATCAGAGACAATTTTTCAAGTCCACTCGCATAAGGTACCACCAATGAGTTAATAATTTTTGGTTTCGCCTTAGGGACGTGATTATAAAACGTACGCTTGGCTTGTTCAAACGAGAAATCCAAAAACTTCTTAGGATATTGTAAACTCATCCCAATTTCATATATTTTAGCAATCTCTTCATCAAAAAACTCAGGGCTGCAAATCCTCAAAGCTCGTAGAAACATTCCTGAAAATACTGCCTGTTTTACTTTACTATGATGATTCGAATAAAAATGAACATACGACCCCACGTTGGTAGGTTTCCTATACACATTAAATTTGTATTTAAAAAAAAAAAAACTACCAACGTGGGGTCGTATGTTCATTCTTCCAGGGGTTCACTGTGATACCATCCGGGCGACCAATAAGAGCATCAGAGTTACGGGGCGTTAAGTAACGGGGCTCTCTTTCAGCTGGGCATCCAGCTGTGGTGAGGCTCCTCTTGATGATGTAGTTAACTTCACTGTGCCTCGAGTGCCATCCCCCTGTGCATACATATACATATATATATATATATATATATATATATATATATATATATATATATATATATATATATATATATATATATATATATATATATATATATATATATATATATATATATATATATATATATATATATATATATATATATATATATATATATATATATATATATATATATATATATATATATATATATATATATATGTTGTCCGAATTCTGGCTCACTGGAATTCTGGAACATATTTGGAGGGCAAATTAAGACTTTTTATGGCGAAAACACGAATTTTCTCAATATTTCTTATGTTTCTTTTCGCTGTCGATAGTAATTGAAAAATCAATTCTCCAAAATTCATTTTTATTTCTAGTCTGATGCGATACTTTAACGCGTTTCGTAATAACTTATTACATTTTCAAGGACTTTAGTTTATACACACACACACACAACTATAACCTGCAAACACTAAACAGAGTTCTACTATGCTATCATTTAAACAAATTTCATTTTATATACCCACATTTGGGTGAGGTGATATGGTACAACAGTTTTGGATGAGGTGAACAAAACTTTCAACACAAGATAGAGCAAACTTTCAACACAAGACAGAACGGTGCAATGGGTATATATTGGGTAAATTAAAGGGAAGAATGGAAGTAACTGCAAAGAGTCTATTGGCCCATATTTCTTGATGCTTCAATATTGGTGCGGAGTCTTGAAGTGGGTAGAATATAGTTGTCCATTAATTTGCTGTTGATTGCTGGTGTTGACTTCTTGATGTGTAGTGCCTCGCAGACGTCAAGCCGCCTGCTATCGCTGTATCTATCGATGATTTCTGTGTTGTTTGTTAAGACTTCTCTGGTGATGGTCTGGTTGTGGGAAGTGATTATATATTCCTTAATGGAGCCCTGTTGCTTATGCATCGTTAATCGCCTGGAACGAGATATTGTTGTCTTGAATATATACTGAGTTCTTTGAGGCTTACAGTCCCCAAGTGGGCGTTTGAAGGCACAGACGTCGTTGGTCTTGTTTAAAGCGTTCTACTTTGTGTCAGGAGAGTATCTCATGAGTAGGTTGGCCGTTTTTTTGGTTTTATAGTAAATCGTCAATTGTATCTTCTGATTTTTGTCTGTAGGGATAACGTTCCTATCAACAATATCTTTCAGGACCCTTTCCTCCGTTTTATGAGCTGTGGAAAAGAAGTTCCTGTAAAATAGTCTAATAGGGGGTACAGGTGTTGTGTTAGTTGTCTCTTCAGAGGTTGCATGGCGTTTCACCTTCCTTCTTATGATGTCTTAGACATCATAAGAAGACATCATAAGATCCTCTCCATTTGCCACTCCATTTACCCCACTCGATTTCCCTCTCTACCCCCACTCGTTCCCCTCTCCTCCTGCCTTCGCCACTAACCATTTGGCGGTTTTAGGACCAGTGACGAATTACCGTAATACTCAAGTTTCCAGTGAGGGGGCTGGGAGCCATATACCAGCTGTGGTTTCCTGTGTAGCATGGGATCGGTTCATGATTTTACGGTAGTAAAACATAATTTTTAGGAGAGGCCTATGTCACCAAGGAGGCCTAGGGGTGGGGTGAAGTCAGAGTTTGGCTGGCCCTAAGAGTAAGACTCTGTAGGGAGTCTTGAAGCCATGGTTGAAGCCATGGAGGCCTGTGGAGGCGGAGTCCCCCAGGGTCCCCCAGATTACAGCGTGTGTTGCTCTTTCGTCCAACAGATGGCGCTGTTTTTTCAGAGAAAAATATTCTGAGGCCCAGCCTCAGAATATTCCAGCTTTGCTTTGAATTGATTTTTGCTCCTAGCCGGAGCCAAGCTCCAGAAGAAAACCTTAGGTCTCCCTGGGGTAGTTAAAAATAATAAAGTCAGTGTGTCTTGGGGCTTACTGGGGTGCAGGTCTCCCTGACCTGGAGGGAAGCCACTCAACATCTTGGCCGAGGTTGCAGGATTAAGATAATGTCTATCTGAGTTTTGGTACATCAAGTAAATGCACCTCGAATTCCATTTTTGCCTCTTAGGATGTGTTAGTAAAGTAGGACATTTCAATTTGATTTCAATTTACGAGTTTAAATAAATAAAGTGAATATATTTGTTCCAGTGGTATTCAGTTAATTCCCCTTTTTGGTATATTATCTACTTTGTCATTTTTATATGTGGTTTTGATGTGTTGGCATAGAAAGTTTCCATGTTCTCCTCCATTGTATGAATATAAAAGTTTCAATTGAATCCCCCATTAGTTAAGTAAAGATTTCCTTTTTATTTCCCAAGTATTTTTCCAAGAGTATTTGGCCCTTTGAGTTAAATGATTATTGAGTCCCTTACTTCTTGGGGAAACAATAATTTAGACACACTCATTTATGGTTAGGGAAGGTGGTGGCAATGTTTAATGATTTTATTATTAGTTATAAATTAATAACCCCGATTCTTGTTGTGTCCTCATTTAATATTCAGCTTATATTCGTGTCAGCTCAGATGAGGGGTCATACTGAGCTGTAGCAGTGTTAAGCTGGGGTGTTGAGTGAAGGGAAAGGGTAGAGCAGAGAGGGTTATTACAATGGTAGCAGCGGAGTTTCAATAATTTCTTGACGATTATTGAAGCCTCACGAGTCTGTACGTTCGGTTATGGGGTGTGGTGAGAGTTAAGCCGGGTGCAACGAGCTAGAAGTCGACGGTAATCCCAGGTCAGTGCGTTGGGCATAGAGTAGGCAATTCTAGTGTCGTGAAAAGCTGGTAGTTTAAGTATAGGCAGTTAAGTGTAGGCGCAAGTAGGCAGTTAAGAGTAAGGGGCCGCCTTGGTTAGTTGGGAAGGGTTCTAGTTACTCGACCCTCTGCAACTATGGACAAGAGTGCTGCGTGGGTTTTTTGCAGCAGCAATTCTAGTTTATAAATCGAGTTTTCCTTAAGTACTAAATTAAGTTCCCTGTATATTAAGCTCCCCTTCAAATTAAGTATCCTCTTGTTAGTTAAGTGTTCCCCTTGTTTAAGTAATTCTCGTAAATAAGTGTTGTTATTTTCCTAAGTATTTTTTTCATATAATTATAATTAAGGCTGGATTTTGGTTTCGTGTTCTGCAGTATTAATTCTCTAAGAGAATTACTAAGGTGATTGGTTTTACTGTTTTCAAGTGAAGTGAAGTACAGTGCATTAAAAGTGAAATCAGTGAAAGACTTAGTGAAAATCGCGGATTTTTTTGTGGTGAAATTCCTCAAAGTCGATTGGAAAATC